CGCGGGATCCCGAGGACGCGCGCTTCCGAGGAAGGCGAGACGAGAGGTAAGGGTAAATCCATTTCTCTTCCTTGGGTTAAAGGGTAAATGGAGGGAACTCTTTTATTCCTGGTTTCCTTTTCATTAAGGAGTCTATCTGTTTCAGATTTATAAACTGGAAACCAATAAGGAAATGAAAACTCTAATATACCTGAGTGTAGAATCCATAAAAATCATTCAGTAATAGAAGAAAACTTGAAAAATGGTCATTGTACACAGCAGCTTCCGTGTCTTTAAACAGTAAGTAAAGAGAAGGGGGAAAGTTTGTAGAGAAGATCCAGTGACACAGGATGAAGACCTGAGACCGTTTTGATGAAAATTGAGAGGAGACTTAAAGGTTAAAATGACACTTTTGAACACTAGAAGTGGATTTTGAGATTCTGTCTCCAGTCACAAACTACAGCATGACTGTAGAGACTGTAGGATGAGATGCAATGCCCTTGTAAGGAGCAGGAGCAGTGATGTGACTGCCACATAGAAGGGCCAGACTTACAGCATCTGTTGGACTGTTGAGACTATTTTTTCATGCATTTGCTTGTAGAAATTTTATTTCTTTCTGACTTATTTCTTAATGCCAAGCGAAGAACTCAAAAATAATCTGATTTACAGCAATGTCCTTGTCATTGCTCACAATCTCCGAATAAATCACAAAGGGATAAATTTGCTTTTAGTTACCAATGTAAATGTGGAGGAATTAATGCTGTCACTGAAATTAATTATCAGCAAAATTGCTCCAGATTTATGTTAGTTTAATTAAATGAAATTTGGCCTCCAAGGTCTAAGCCTCTCACTGACCACCAACTCTCTATGTATAAGAACATGTGCTTGTTACAAATATGCTGTGGTCTCCACATAATGTGAATTTTGTGTGTTTTAGTTGCCTTTTTAATCATTTTCTTACATTCCTTTTACTTTGCATCTATACAGCTCTTCTTTTAGCTATTTTCTACCTAGCTCTGTAAGATGTAACTTCCTTTTGTGTGAAGAGTATGAAAAGAAATGAACAGTAACTTAAAGAAGGTAACAATTAAAGCCATTTTTAAAAAGTAAAGCCAGAGAAAATCCAGTTGGATGGTCCAGTGGTCCAATGGTCTGCATCACAGAACTCTAAAAGATACAGCAGAAAAGACTTTTAGAAGTTCAGTAGAGATTTTTCAGATCTTATATTGAAAATGCTTAGGGACTGGCAAATATTTTATTATGGTCCTGATTTTTAAAAAGTTTAAGGAAGGGAAACAAGAACCTTGTTACCTGCAAATCTGACTTTTGAACTAAGAGTATTCTATTTATCAGAGTACAAGTGTTTGCCCAGAGTTTGAAGTGAAATGGCACAGGGCTCTAAAAGGCTCGCTGTGCTTGTAAATTTGATTATTTTCTTGGAATGAAGGTGAACTAGGTGCCATTTACTGCAGATGCTGTGGTGGACTTAATCCCAACCACTCGTTTAGCTGACTTGGTTTGAAATTGAGATTGTAACTGGTTTGATCAAGCATGAGAGGCAAATGTGTGTATGTGTGTTTCTCTCTAATTTCCCATCCTTTTCATCCCTGTCCTGTTCTTACTCTTTATCAACATGATGCTTCTACTGCAGAGACCTGCCTCTTCCTGCCTGCTAATCTGCACAGTGTGTAGTTGTGTACAGTAAGGTCCTAGGCCTCGGGGAAGAAGATGTGAGAGCAGTCAAACAGGAACTGAACCCGATGCAAGGCAGGGCTTTATGTGTGACTGATATGGAAAGGCAAATAAGGATATCCAGAACACAATATTAGGAGCTGTGGCTGTGTCAGGCATAGGTTTTGTAGATTTCAAAACTCAACTGTGTCCATAAGTTGCCTGAAATAGGAAAGGCCCTGTTCCTGCAGCCCTGGGGCCTCGTGTTGAAAATCTTGGTAATTTCCAAGCTAAGTTGAATCACACCATATCAGTATTAAATTAGCAGGAGGCCCTCTAAGAAACCTCTAGAGGACTGTGCTCTTTCAAGGCTAAACAATATTGCTCTGTGATTATTTGAACCATTTGTACCTGAAACTGTTGAGTTTGTTTTCCCAAACCATCCAGGTTAATGTAAATGGTTCATGGTCCATACAAAGCACTCCTCCATCCACTGTTGTACCTGTACAGGCACAGCAGCCTCCTCTCTGTATTGTGTTTGTTTTCTGGGAGGTGGAGACAGACCTATTGTTTTTTATTAAAAACAATGTAAAAGTTGAAGAATATTGTATTGTGTTATGACTACTGTTAAAATATTTAAATTTGTAATTAAAAGGTTAATGTTGTTAAAATTCTAAATAAAAGTATCTAAAGTTTTGCTTGTAATAGGATGCACTGTGTCGTTAATAAGCTGGGGAAGGGGATGCTGCACACAGCCAACACCACGGAAATGCTGTGTGCTTCCAGTTCAGCCAGTGTGGAACTGGGAGCACTGGGGAGGTGGGAGGCACCTGTCACTGGGCAAGGACAGCCCCACACCGTGTGCTGTCACTGAGGGGGGGCAGAGTAGCGTGGGGTGGCACAGTGGGGACACCAGTGTGCCTGCACCACCGAACACCTCAGCCAGGCTGTGACAGACAGGGCTGAGACACCCTCACAGGGCAGGGCTGAGCTGTGCAAACCCTCCAGGAGTTTGAACTGCTTGTGTCAGGAATAGAACTGCCAGTTACTCACACAGCCAGCTGCAGGCTTACCTGGCATGGCACTGACAGCTCTGCAAGAGCCATTCTCCTCTCTGAAGAGCTGTCCCAGGCCCCAGTGCAGTGCTGGAGGAGCTGCACTCAGTTAAGATGCTGTGCAGAACCAATCAAATTCCTGAAGGTGCCCTTGGTACTTCCTAGACAGCAGTTATCAATTTCAGGCTCATAATTACATTTTGCAACACAAAATTCATTACTGCAGTTGGATAAACTGCTCTTCAGGTTGCAGAATGCCACTGTGCACTGTTCAGCCATCACTGGGCCTGCAGATCCAAGGGCAGTCTAGATGCATTTGCTAGAATTGTAAACTTGGAAGAATGGAATGAAAAGGAGAATTGTCTGGCAAAAGAATCATAGAACTAAAAGGAATGAGATCCTGTAATGTTTTGTTATAGCAACGATTCTCATTGCTTCTATGTTTTCAGTTTATGATGCAAATGGAAAGAAAAAAAGGGAAGGGGAATGTAAGAGCATCAGAGTTAAGGGGAACTCACACTTTGCCTTGCCTTACCTCACCTTGTATCTATCATCACTCATTGTTTTTCCCACCTTTTCATTAAATGAATGCACTGTGTTTAATAATATTTTTCTTGTATGAAAAACCAACATAATCAGTGGAACGAAATATGAGAGCAAGATTACAAAGCTTACTATCAAAGTGCTCAAAGGCAGAAATGAGCACTTTCACCTACAAATCCTGTTCTAGTAACTGTATGTGCTGTAGCATTAAGTGAAACAGTTTAGAAATGAGTTGATAATGAAACTGCCTCAATTATGCCTAAAAGCCACGTTTGTATCCTGTTCTTTGTTGTAGCTTCCGAAGAGGAGGACCCTCGAGGCACGAGGGCCGGGGACCCAGGGGCAGAGATGGCTTCCCTGGCCCTGAAGATTTTGGGCCAGATGATGCTTTTGACTCTCCAGATGAAAACTCCAGAGGAAGGGACCATGGTGCTCGGGGGCGAGGGCGAGGTGCTCCGAGAGGTAAGGGCAATGTTCTTGCACACAGAAACACAAGGATGAGGAAGGAAAGGCACTTCTTGGGCAGGTGACATTATTTTCATGACTACAATGTCTCTTCTCACTCCTGTCCCCTGCCTCTCTTACTGCTCAGGAGCTCGGAAGGGTTTGCTTCCTACTCCAGATGAATTCCCACGTTTTGAAGGAGGGAGGAAACCAGACTCCTGGGATGGAAACAGAGAACCAGGTAAAAAATATGGTGAGGTTTGTAGACTTCTACAATATAATAACTTTAAAAAATATATTTTAAAAATCATGTATTTTTCCTGTACCTCACGTTTGTTACAGGTAATTTACCATGAAAAAAACCAAATGCAGTTGTTTGGTCTTTAAATTTAGGAAAAAAGAACTATACAGAATTTAACTGTCTCTAAATACAGCTTATTGGATAAAAGTGATTGTGGCCTCAAAGCCTTGATTTTCAGTTGTGTTCTTGTACAGTCCAGAACTGCCCAGGCAACTGTTACCTCTGGATGACTGAATCACATGTCATGGGGTTTTTTAGAATATCTTTATTAATGCCAACAGTAATCTTTCCTGTGTTGGTATCTTTTCAGCTGCAATGTCTGACAGCTTGTATTTGCAGTTGTGTTACTAAAGGCAGTGCCATATGGGGCAAGACAGAGCTGTAGAATATCATAGAAAGCAAAGCACAAGTGACACATGAATAAATGAAGGTGTGATTGTCTCTAAAATACATGGAAGTATTTTATACTGGAAAGAACACTTTATATATGCCACACTTTTCTTTCCCATCATCTTTAAAAGCTGGTTTACCTTTATTTTTTTTATGTTTTAGCATATGTTTTACCTTTAGCTTTTTTACAAAAAAATGGGACAGGGGAAAAGCTTTACATAATTTTAACTTCAAACTGTGTGCCAAACAGTGTGGGCAGTTTGTAAATTTATGTGGCTGCCTTCAAAAATGAAGAACAATGATCCAATAAACATTACTTAGCTTGTGTTTTCATGCACAGGTCCTCGTCCAGACCACCCTCCTCATGATGGGCACTCTCCAGCCAACAGAGAACGTTCCTCCTCACTCCAGGGCATGGACATGGCCTCACTGCCACCACGGAAACGTCCCTGGCACGATGGACCAGGAACCTCTGACCACAGGGACATGGATGCTCCAGGTGGCCCTCCAGAGGAGAGGGGCAAAGGTAAAAAGCTCCTTTGATTGGAACCCTTATGTGACACTGGAATGTATTTTCAGTATTAAGTGTATCCAGAACTTCTCTGTTCAGAGGGGATAAAGCTGAGCTGGTAAATATCTGATGTTACCTGGGAAGTTACAGACCAGTCTTACAGGAACATAAGAACAGAGGGATTTTCAAACATCAAATCCAAATCTTGTCTCCAGCACTGCAGAATCCTCTTCTTTATTACCCTGTTGAAAAGTAGTTGGTTTTTGATTCCCTGTTACTCCAGCTGGAAAACTCATTAAGAGCATTTTTCTCTCATCTTCAGAATAGTTGTTTATTAATATTAATGCTTGTGATGTTATTCTTTAACTCAAATTTAAGAACATTGAGCCTGGAGTGATATGTCCCTGAAGTGCTCTCTAAACCTCTGAAGATCTCACTTACTAAAACGTTATTTTTATATTTAATGGCTTTCCAGTTACCTTTTGTGTAAGAATCATCTAAACTTCTGATATACACAACATCCATGGACAGACTTCTAAAACTTAATTGAAGCAGACTATGCTTTAAAAGAAAAAGAGGGAAATTGTTTTTCCCTTGATCTATGCTTATCATTCACTAATTTAATTTGATGTCTTGTGTGGTAATGAATGTTGGTTCCTGTTATTACTGAATGCCACCTCTGATTGCACTGAACTCCACCACTTCCAGCCTGAACCAGCTCTTCTCCAAGTCAGAGCTGTGATTTCTTTCTTCTTTCTAGAAATTGTTCTCTTTCACTATCCTTGTTACTCTGCATGTGCTATTTTGAGTTTGAAATTATCCTTTTCTAAATTAAATGAGGTAACTAGGAACTGCACACACTGTTTAAGATGTGGTGTAACCATCGATTTCTGCAGTTCTCTTGTACTTGTTCCACTTTCTCCATTCTTTCCTCACAGTTCCTGGTGTTGTAGTTCCCTCTAAGTGGTCCCATGTTTCTGTAACCCACAGAACACATTCATTTGGAGTCAGTGCTGTTAGCATCACACCAGTTCTTGATCCTATTTCTTGCAGATCTCAGGGCTTCTGTTCTCTTGTGTAAATACTTTAATGTCCTCACATTGACTACCCACTGTCAGGTAGTGATCAGTGACAAACATCCTTCTCATTTGCTCCCAGATACTGAGCTGGCAGGCTGCAGCTGGATTTCTTGCTGTCAGACTGCACAGCTTTGTCTCTGATGCCACTGAACACTGAATCCCAGCCCACTTCTGTCACCACTGTCCCAAACTCATTCAGTTTTAACTGCCTGTCACTTCTCCTCTGCATGGACTCTGTTCCCAGGTTGATAAAACTTCTCTGATAAAACTTCTGCGGATAAAACTTCTCTACCATTATTTTTCCTTCCATATCACATGCTGCAGTTCTCAATTTAGCCAGCATCTATCAAATCTCTAAGGATTCCTTTTCCAGCTTCAGTAATGATTGTGATAACTCTGTCAGATTCTTTGTTAAAGTCAAAACAATTCTTGTCCAGGCACAAGTGTGGTAATTAACTCATAATGTGCTAAAGAAAGTTTAGAATGATGGCAGAAAGGCTGATAAACAAACCATGAACAATTCTTCATATGTGGGCTGTGTCACCTTCAGTTGTATTGGGAAAATCCTTTGAAGATTAAAACTTCATGAATGTTTCTGTGAAACAATTTGGTGACTTTTACAGGGAACCATCCACAGTCAACAAAAATCACTTTTGCTCAAGTGCAGCAAAGATACCTGAATTTAGCTGTAGTATGTGTCCTTAAACAAAGTTACAACTGATTTTGTTTTCTCAAAATACTGCTTCTTATTTTAGGCTAATGAATTGGGTTGGGGTTTTTTGTTGTTCATAGCAAACATATTAAAACCAAAAAGGTATGTGAGAATTAGAAGACTCTATTCTGTGAGAATTAAAACATTCTGTTCCTGGCAGTAAGAGCTTGAGTACTTTTTGTTCCAGGTTAGTAGTAAAATAAAGCATTTTTCTATTACTTTTAGCAAAAATTTGAACAAAACAATAATGTTACTCATGATCATCACCATCAGCCTCAACTGTCTCAATTTGTCAACAGTGCAATGTCTTTGTTTAGGGTTAAAAAAAATAATTTTGCAATAAAAACATGGAGAGAACCCCAGTGTTGAAGCACAAGAACTGGCAGTTTGGAGGAAAAGTTATCATTATTCTGACTTCATTTCAGTGCCTGCTGACAGTATCAAATACAAGCTCCTTTAATTCTCAAGGAATTGATTGTTGTCCATTTTCTGAACTGTAATGGAGACTCTAAATCTGTATAAGAAAATTGTACTGAGGGAGGAGGCATAAAATTGCAGGTCTCAGCTACAGCTGGTTTATGAATGATGGCACCACAGTAGAAGCAGCTCAATGCCTGGCATGTCTGAGAAGAGACTCAGCTCAAACTCACACCAGTAACTGGCTGTGCTTCCTTTGCAGGACGAGGAAATTCAGGACCCTCACAGAGAGCGCCGAAATCTGGGAGGTCCAGTTCTCTAGATGGAGACCACCACGATGGATTCCACAGGGAGGAAGCCTTTGGTGGAGGCCCTGGGGCAGGCAATAACCCTTCTCGAGGAGGAAGGAGCAGCAGCAACTGGGGAAGAGGAAATAACATGAACTCTGGCCAGTCCCGGAGAGGAGGATCTCGGGGTGGCCGAGGCCGATAGAAGAGGCTTTGACTGGGTCATGCCCAGTCCTTGTGGGACAATATTTAAATAGACTGCTACTCTGGACTCACCTGCAATGCCACGAACCTGGATTCTTAACTGGGATAACTGAATGTGCATTAGTTCCTAACAAGGGTCTTTCTTTTCCTGAACCAGTCATTTGCCTATAGCTGCAATATTGTAGCTACCTTTGTTTTGTTCTTTCCACTCCCATTGCCCTCACTTTCTTGTTTTTGTCAAGAGCTGGAATTTCTTTTAAGTGTTGTGGAACATGGAGCATCTCCACAGATTTCAGTTCACCTCCAGACAGAAACTTGTTTCTATATGTACAGTTTGTCAAAGAGTTACGTTGGTTTTGTATGAATACAGAATGTAATTTGCGCAAAAATTAACAAAAAAAAAATCAACAGTGTGTGATTCTTTACTCACCTATTACTACAGAGGGTTGTATTTAGGCAAACTTGTGTTTCAGATGGAGCAACAGCACTACCTCCTGAAATCTCAGCCAGTTAAAATACTGAGAGATGATTCCTAGGGCTTTGGTTTATCATGTACAGAGAAGTTTCATTTTCACCTTTAGCCACAGTCTACAATGGTGCTGAGGTCAAAATTCCAAACTGCAGGCAATCACCACTGCTTGCTAGTCTGCCATCCTGAAACAGAAAAGAGTGGAAGAGTGTTTAGAACAAGTTGTCAAAGACATGCATGAGTTGCATAACCTGGATCCTAAGACAGACACCACAGCAAAGATTGGCATTCTACACTTCACCTAGCCAAGCCACAGATTTTTGTTAAAACAGCATCCGTTTACAAAAACTGAGACAGAAAGTTTAGCAGCTTGATTGGTATGTTTTACAGCAGCTGTGTGACACACTGTTTAAAGCTGTGGGTGTTCAGCAGAGTCTGGTGCATTAATTGCTGAAGTGCAATTCATCACTTCAATAATAAGTTTTTTTAAGTGTCTTTTTCTTTAGGATATTGTTACCTGGTTTTACTAAAGGAGGGAAATGAGGAGGAGGGGTTATTCCCATTTCCCACATTTCATAATAAAGCTGCTTACCAACCATGAGTTTGTTTTCCCCATAAATCATTCCTATTAATCATCTCCAGCCACTGTGTTATCAGAAGGCTCCTTTAGCACCTAAAGCCTCAGTGACAATGTTATCACATAAGTACTTATTGTACAGGTACCTTTCAGGAAGGTCCTGTATTGAAAGTAGAGCATATAATGAAAAACCACTACCAGGCTTCCCTCTCTCCTGCCTTGAATTTGAGGCTATAATCAGGATGAGGCAGTTCTAGAGGCTCCTGCAGCCCAGTAACACACAGAGCTGCTGCATCTTCTCATAGGCAGGGTTACCAAAGACTGGCTCAAGTCGTGATGTCCCATCTTCCTCAAAGACATCAAAGCACAGATGCTTAACTGCTGTTCTCTTGGTTCAGTCAGACACTTTTTACTTGGTTTTTAATTTGTGGTGTATCAAATCACATTTAAAAATTGTAACTGATCATTAGCCTATAAAATCCTTGTCGTGGGAGTCAGGAGAAACAGAATGGTCTAAAAGGAATTAACTAGAAACAGCTGAGATCCATCTGATATGACAATTTGTCCCTTGAGAAAAAATGCTTTTTAGCTCTATCTGAAGGACTTTGGGCACTTTGGGTGTTGGTCTGGGAGTTGGGATTTGTCCTGAAGTTTTCATGAGAAATACTAATTATTTAATCACTGGCAAAGCAGAAAGCTTGCCCTCTTTTTTTTTATTTAGCAAGGCAAATACATGTTTAAGGGGCTAAAAGAGGTCTAATACTTGGACTATTTAGAGGATGAGCTTTAGGCTTTAATTAAACCACAGTCCTCTACCAAAACAAGGTAAAGTGTATCTAACAAGAGAAAACTCAGCTTTATCTAGACAACTTATATTTACTCTGATGATTGTCTGATTCTTAAACAATTGTGGTACTTAAGTAATACTCTTCAAGGGGCAGCTTTTTAAATGGAGTTTTGAAGTATTTCACAATCATATGCTCAAAAAGTCCTAAGAAAATTTGATTATTAGATATAGTTTCCACAGAATCTTAAAAGGTAACAGCATAGCAGAAGTACAGAAATAGCTTCCCATTCTGTGATACCATGACCCACTATTACTGGGAAATGGGCACAGTTATTTAATGGGATTATACTTCTGTATTCCTCAGGTAATGTTATTTTACCAGTGCTGCACACAGACTCTTATGCTCTACCTGTTAGTTCAGAGGTTGTCTCAAATTTAATTTTACACTGCTGTTAGGAATTAAATTAATTTTATATACTGTAATTTAGAAATTGTAAAAACGAGAGCTAACTTAATGCTATTCTGATAGCTCTGATCTACATTCTTAATGGAAAACATGACCATTAGTGAAATGTCTATACTGACAATTGGACAGAAATATTTTTATTAAAACGTACACTCAAGCACCCCCTTTAACAATTTCAGTTTAATTCAAAAAAGTATTTGGCAAATCTATTAAAACTAATTAGTGATAGCAGGTAAGTATTGCAGTGGCTTTATTTTCTCCATGAGGCACAAATGCTCAGTGAGAACTCACTGGGGGCTCTGTGCAGTGAGGCCCCGGGTCCCATTTCCTTGCACGGGTCCAGTGCCCGGCCCAAGCAGGAGCCCCCAGCTCTGCCAGCCTGAATTCAGCACCTCTAAGGCAGCTCAGTTTCTGCACTGAAGCAGAGCTCCAGTTACTGGCAAATCTATTTTTGAAGGTCAGGCTGGGACAAGTAAGCAACTCCTGCCCAAGTTCAGAGAGCAGTATCTATACACAAAAATGAAATTGTAAGAGCTGAAGCTCCCGCTTTAAAGCCCAATTTGGTCCCTTACAGCAGTACCTGCAAACGCCAATGCCAATGCTCTTAACCAACATCAGCACTTGGCATCCTCTCATCATCATGCAGGAACACCCCCTCCCCTTACAATTGTGGGCAGTGTTTGTCACCCACAGCCCCAGGAAAGTTTGTTTCACTTACTGGATGGTTATTTTAAAGCTGCTTTATAGAGAGAAATGCAGTTCAGTGGCCACAGTCTTCGTATTCACCACTGGTCTGAGGTGACAGCAAAACCAGTATGTGTTCGTAGTGTAGGGGTCAGCACAAAATGAGGTAAAACCAGTTAATTTTTCAATGTTCTCCCCTAGCCTCGATCGCATTTTGCTAAATCATCTTCGTGTTTCAGCATCCGTCAGCCTTGCGCTCCTCAGCCGCTGCTCAGTCCTCAATGCCGCCGCATGGGCTCCGACCGCGCTCCGCAGCCGCCGCCGCAGCCGCCACACGGTCCCGGGCTGGGGAACGAGCGGGACGCTGCCAGCTCCCCACCCAGAGGTGGAGCGGTGCCAGGCCGTGCCTATGGAGCTGGCAGCGATGCCAAGCCGTGGCTATGGAGCTGGCAGCGCGGTAAGGCAGACACCGAGCTCGGGGGCGGCTCGGCGGGCTGACCCCGCACACAGCAGCTCCGAGTCACCGGGGCCGCTCCGGGCTGCCGGCCCCGCTGCTGCTGCTCCTCGAGCGCTGGCGAGGAAAACGTGCCGGGACGCGGAGGAGACGAAGAGAAGCGGCGTCCCCGGTCTGGGAGTCGGCTGGCGATCCGGCTCCGTGTGTGAGGGACTCCCGCGGGGCCGCGGCCGCTCCTCCCCGGCGCGCCGGGCTCACAGCGGCAGCGCCGCCTTGCCTCGGCCGCACACGGCGGCGCGGAGCAGCGCGGCCAGGCGGCGCAGGCCGGCGGCACCTCCGGGCAGCGCGGCCAAGAGTGCCGTGGCGGCGATGCCGAGCTGCGCGGCGGCGCCCAGCGCGGTGAGCGCGGTGCTGCGCAGCGCCAGCGCGGCGTACAGCGTCCCGAAGAGCGCGCCGAGGTAGAGCAGCGCCCCGCGGCCGGGCTCCCGCAGCAGCCGGGCGGGCCCGCGCAGCAGCGCGGCGGCGCCCAGCGCGCACAGCGAGCCCAGCGACCAGAGCAGCGCGAACTTGCGGGCGCGCAGCAGCAGCAGCGGCACGCACAGCCCGGCCAGCCCGAAGCACAGCGCGGCCAGAAGCACGCACAGCCCGCTGCCCGCCAGCCGCTGCCAGCGCGACAGCCCCGGCAGCCACGGGTCCTCCTCTCCCGTCCAAGGCCACACCGTGGCGCCCGGGGCACTGCCCGGCGGGAACGGGTTCAGCGCCCCCAGCCAGGCCCGCAGCCCGCCGCCGTCCCCCGCCTCCTCCTGCGAGCCGCTGGCCGCCGGCGCTGCGGGGACCGCGCTGGGAGCGGTGGCGGCAGCAGCGGCCTTGGACTGCGCGAGGTACTCGTGCAGCTGCCGACCCAGGTCCGCCATAGCGGGGACGGCACCGGGCGCTACAGCGCTCCCTCCGCCCACCGCGGCGCCGCCATTTTCCCGGGCAGGGGCCACATCCGGGGCACGGCAGAACACGCGGCCGCAAGCCGGGGAGAGCGGCGCGCATGCGCCGGGGACCGTGAGGCGCAGAGCGCGTGCGCGGGGGCCGTGCGGGCTCTGAGGGTTCTGAGGGATGGGAGAGCTGAGGGGGTGATGGGGGCAAGGCGATCTGTGAGGGCTGGGGAGGCTCTGGAGGCTGCGAGGGCTCTGCGCTGTGAGGCCTACGTGGGCTGTCTAGAGCTACGGGGTCTGTGTCGGTTGTGAAGGGCTGTAAACCTGGGATTAGCCTGTCACTGATTGACAGGCAGGACTAAAAGTGGTTGACAGGCGGGATCAGCCCAGGAGATGGATTGACAGGCGGTACTAAGAGTAGCTGACACGTAGAGGCATCCACTCAGAGTGATTGATGGGCAGGGCCAGGGGTGGTGAGGGGCAGGCTCAGCCTCCCAGGGTGAGCACAGGCAGGGCCATGGGAGTGCCCTCAGCTGCCCACAGACACTGGAGCACTGGAACAGTCTTCCATAGCCAGGCTTCTGTGGCTGAAACTGGGATTCCACCTCCCAAAACTGAACAGCTGAGCATTACTCCCAGACAAAAGCTGCCACACTGACAGGTCTCACTGGCCTTGGCTTCCTGGGAATGGCCTCTCAGCTGCCCCACAGACACTGAGGCTTTCCTTCCTTCACAGCCAGGCACCCAGGGCTGAGAGTGGGATTCCACCTCTCTCGCCCCACACAAGAGCTTGTTACTTGTTAACTGAACAGATAACTCAAACAGGACAAGCTGTCTTGTATTGAGACACTCAATAACTTGTATTGAGTTATTTTGGTGCCATGGGGTTAAGGCTGGTCTGGCATCTGGAAGATAAAGCTGGATTTCTGACTGACAGACACCTCACTTTATAAAAGCTACACCAAACTTTGACAAAGCAGAAATTTTCTGTACTTTTCCTGGAAATGTGTAAAGTTTCTCACATGAGCAGGGCTGCCTGCTTAGCAGTAACTCCCCTGAAGGTTAATTATCATAATTTCAGGGGGCAGTTACATTTGACTCCTAATCAATATTCTTTCTTTTGCTAGCTTTAATATAGGTACCTTGATATCCTGCACTTTGTGTTATGCTGTAATCTACCAGTAGTACTTTTTAGTACCAAGAATTGCTCCCAGACAGAAGCTGCCAGGACATAGGGGTCCCACTGGCCTTGACTTCCCCAGGCTGCCTCTCATCTGTACCTGACACACTGGGGCTGTGAGCTTTCCTGCTGTGGAAATCAGCTGTAATTCCCATCCAGGAGCCCATGCTGGACATTTGACCTGCACCTCCACAAGGTTCTTCTGTGCAGAGACACTGTTCTGCACCACTGTAAACTGACATTTCAGACTGTGTGATGCTACATAAGGCTGAGAATTCACCTGCAGAGCACCATGGTTTAAAGGCTGCAAGAGGAGAGTGCCTGCCACAATTACCTTCCAAATTCTGGTTATAAGGGGGAAGGTCAGTGAACACTGTCTGTGCTGGCACAAGCTCCCATTCAAGATTTATGTTGAAACAATTCTGTTTAGCTTTAGACTCTGAGATTCAGCAAATATTGTGGTAGAAAGCTGAGAAGAAAACTGCAATATTGCACCAGTGTTTGGCATGGCTTACATGAGGCAAGGGGAAGGTGCAGACCAGCAGTGGTTCAGCAGGCTGGTGCTGTCTCAACATTTAACTTACATCCTGTGAAAAGCAACCACACTCTGGAGTCATGAATTTTCCTGCTCAGCCTCATGTACCATCACATTCTTTCACTCTCCAAAACCCAGCTTCAAAACGTAACATGTCCAGTAGTGCCTCTTTTACTGTAGGTCCTAAAACAAAAAAAGTAAGCACTGGCCTTCCCTTTCCCCTTGCAGCCTCACAGAGTCCAATTACAAAACTAAGAATGTTCAGCAGTTCATATCCCAGAAAAGGTTCTAGAGGAGAAAGAGGCTGTGCTGGAATTTTTCTTTTGCAGCCTATAAACTGCCCAGTGAGAGATTCCTTCCCAGCTATATGCAGGATGACATTCTTTCAGTCTCGAAGATTCAGGATCCCCTACACCAGCTGCTCCCACTCTAATAGTGCCAGGAGGGCACAGAGGGTGTGATTTTTACCTGGGCGCTGTCAGCGCTCACAAATCGCACCACACGATGGCGGTGTGCACATCCAAAAGAAGGAAATTCACATTTTCTAGCTCTAAACCACCCAAAATGCAGATCCAAGTTCAAAACGTCACTGCTCTCAAATAAACTGTGTCAGGACAGAAAGATTTCACTGACCTTCCCCTTCCAATAACAAACTCCTATTTGCACCACACTCAAAACCAATTTCTCTGTGCTAATAAATTTTTTCTCTCCCGTGGAGTCCAGCTACAAACTTGAAAACCACGGGCAAAAATGTAGCTCACAAAAGCGCCAGCTGAGAAAGCTGTTGTTGGCCAAAACCAGTTTTGTCTTAGCTTTGCTGAAGGTTTAGCTGTCTCTGAGCTAAACTCATTTATTGTGTGTTTTTAAGAACATTTGGGCTTTGATGTAATGATGTGTACATGGACACTGAGAAGGTGGGGCTGGGGGAAGAAATGCTCAAGTCAGCAAAAGATGAAATGGAGATGAACTGAGTAGAAACCCCTTGAGTTTGGAAATCAGAAGAAATAAAGGTCAAGAACAACCCTCCAAAGAGCTTCAGGCAGGTATGTGGGGAGGGTGAGCAGAACCAGAACTGCTGATTAAAGACCTTTCAGTTGTTTATTCCTCTAATTTGCCCATAGTAATCCAATATTTCCAGCTCCCCTCCTGCTTCCTAAACCACTCCACTTTGCACCATATCAGTTTGTAATTGCTGTTCCCTATTTAGCAGTTAGTTAATGGAAAACTGGCATGTTGTGACTGTGGGGATATTAAATTCTGTTGTTGTGCCATTGGGATTGCAAAGATCCTGCAGCAAAGATCAGGAGAACACTGAAGTTCTTGCTGCCTCTCTCTGTGCCTTGACTGACTGATGGATTTTTACTGTTTTTGATTTCTCTTTTTCCTGTTGTACTGTCCCTCCCCACCTCAGACAGCTGGAACAGGGAATGCTGGAGGTTTTAATAAGGCTGACTCCACCAGTGTTAATCTTGTCTGGGATAAACACAGAGTGGTAGTTACTAAGTCAGCAGCCTTGGGATGCTTTCCAAAGCACAGCTGGAGCCTTTTACCTTTGGATATTTGCCCTGAAGCTACCCTGAGACTGGGTTTAGGAACAAAAAAAGAGGCAAAGGCACAAAGGCCACCTGACAGCAATGAGGATTTCACCACAGGGAGGGTCACTGCCATCCAGGACCATCTGAAACCCAAAGGTTTATTGCATGTGCTGCAGCTGAATGGAGGGCAGGGGGTGTTTGGGATGAAAACAGGGCAGAAAAGGCTCGACTGAGGCATTAGTTGTCCTGCTCTGTTTCCTGTGGGATGCTCTTGTCACAAGGAAGGCTGTCCTAAGGGGCAGGAGAGATGCTGAAGCAGGTTAAAAAAAAAAAAAAAAACAAGTCCTAAAAACAAGGATTCAAATGAAGGCTAAAAGCTTGCAAGTTTTTTAAAATAAATACAATATTTGCCTAAAAACATTGACAAAAAATTTAGAATAACAACATAAAATTGAGGTGGTTATCTGGTGTTAGGATATTGGGGGATGGAGGAGGAAGAGGATGTGAACACAGACAATAAAAGGTGATGAGAAAATGTGGATGTTACCAGGAAAACCCAGAGGTAACAGCAGCCCCAGCAATGCCTGGGGGCAAAGGGGATGTCTGGTCCTTGGGACTGGGTGTTCAGAAATCTTCATGACCAGTCTGAAAAGTGACTTGAAGATCTGAATTTGAAGGAAAGGAGAAGGAATTTTGCGAGGGTTTGGCTGCCAGGTCTGTTTTTTCCGTGACAGAAGGGTGCTTCGCTTCACTCCTTGAATTCTGCACTCATTAAGCTGCTGCCTAATCCTTGGCAGTGGAGAAAGAGGAGCAGACAGAGATTAAACTTGTCATCAGCCCAGGCAGGTTTTGGTCAGTGGGCTTCCCAAAGGCTGGGGGTCCTTCCCAGCCTTCCTATTCCTCTGATCCATGGAAAACACGGAGGGGGGAATCCTACCAAAAGCTTGTTTAAAAACTTATTTACATTACAAGCTCTTTAACATATTTATGTGAAAAAATGTAATATTTTAAGGCCAGTGGGAATTCTGTCCCAAAGCTACAGGAAAATAGGCTTTTCCAAAAAAAAAAAAAAAAAAAAAAAAAAAAAAAAAAGGAGTGTTTCAGGTGTACTAAGGAAGGATAGAACTTCAGGCTGTCACAGAGTGTGAGATATGGTGCAATGTGGAAAGTTCTCCTGAATTTTACCGAGGAGTTCATCTTCAAAGCAAGTTCCACCTAATTTGAGGTGGTTCAGGCGAGGCAGCACTTGCAGCAAAGCGATAACAGTACCAAGGGAGACCAAATCATAAAGATCAAGGCACAGTGTCTCCAGGTGCTCCAGTGTCACGATAGCCACCAGCCCCCTGTTTGTCAGGAAGTAGGCGTTGCTGATTTCCAGGTAGCGGAGCTGCTTCATGTGCCGCCCGATGAACACCATGGCAGCATCGCCAATGATGCAATGCCGCAGGGTCAGGCGTTCCAGCTCCTCCAGGTGCGGAGCTGCCGCTTGGATCCCCGTATCAGTGACGCCGTAGGTGCCGCAAAGGCTCAGGGTCTTCAAGTGGTTCTGTGAGGAAATGTCAAGAAGATGGTGGTCAGAAAAGGTGGGAATGCTGTGGATAGCGAGGTGTTGTACCTGTGGCGGCGGCACCGAAGAGGACACGCAGAACCAGGCGTCGGGGATGTCGCAGAGGCTCAGCTCCAGCGTGGTGACAGAGGCGGGCAGGCTCTCGTACGGGACATGGCGGAGGTCGGTCTCGGTCAGGCACAGCCGATGGAGCTGGGGGCAGCGCTTCCGAA